AAACTTGGTCCCAACATTTAACAGCCTTTAAGCTAATAAATGGTCCACACTTACTATAGAAAAGCCCAGATTTTCGCAGGGGTTACGTTCTTAGAGTACCTGAGAATCGTGAAAAAATGCAAACATTTGATGCTATCCAAGCCTACAGCATGTTTTGTTGTCATCTCAATAAAAACACACGATAGCTAAATAGTTAGCAGCTACACGCCACAAGGCAGAAATGCTGCGTAGACACAGGGTATGTACTGTACTTTCTTATATGGAACTGATTTATGTTAATGTTTGTTACAAAATTAGTAAAATATTATATTAATAATTTAGCTTAAAAACTCGTAAAAAAAGAAAATTGTTGTTTATGTCTGGACTGTATTTCCAGTTTCTGTGATATTACATGGATTACGGCAAATTACTACAGTAGTAGCATATACAGCAGGGCTATTCAACTAAATTGCTCCGGGGGCCACAGTTACAGCTGGTCAACAGCTCAGGGGCCGAACATCCAGCAATTAAAGTTATGTAAATAAACCAAGAATTACAATCTGTTACCTTTTGAAATGGTTTATTTTGCTGCATTTAATCATGAATACAACATACAGAACCAGTAAAAACAATAGTGATAATTAAACAATACCAAAAACAAAATTAACACATTTTGCCTCCTTTTTGACAAAACTATTATTTTGACATCTCTGACTTGCCAAATTTTTAAACCAATTTTATTTTCACTTTCATAGTGTTTTTCACCAGCTTATAGACACGATTCTGACATTTCTGTAGAAACCAAACATGTCTATGTTTAACTAAAAGAACTTAGAGTAAAAAAAGAAAACTGGGTGTTTAGGCTTAAGAGATGAATGAACCAAGTGGCGGGCCGAACTTTGGTCACTCGCGGGCCGGATGTGGCCCGCGGGCCGCCAGTTGAATAGCCCTGATATACAGTATATCAACCTCTTCGGTCATTTACCCGCACATTGAGCTTAAAAAAAATCCATAATTTTCACAAACAAAATCCATACTCTCACATGATGTAAGGGGGCGCAGGGGTGGGATTATGACACCACCCACCCCTTCCTCCTCCTCSCTGAAAGGAACAGCAGAGAACGCAGACAGAGCCTTACCTCAAGAAAAGCATTGATTTTGTGGCACAACGTCGCTGCAGTGCTGCAGAGCGGGTTGGGAGGTGGTTATTTAATTTTAGTGGTTATTTCACAGGTGCTGAGACATTAAATACATTTGAAGCTGAGTTTTTGAAAAAAAATCAGTGCCATTTCTCTATATGTGTAATTTATAGGCCGTCCATACAAGTTGACATGTATGCACGGTGCTTTAAGTGGAAAAAAATAAGTACCAGTAGTCCCATAATATCAAATAAATGTGGGATAGAGACATATGTAATGTTTTTATATAGATCTATCTCTACAGACGGGGCATGTCAGTGCGCCACAGGACAGCTGTGGCTACAATGTAGTTTTTTTTTTTGTTTGTTTGTTTTTTTAGCCACTTCAGTAGAAAACAGAGCTAAATGTTAGTTTCTTAATTTCTTCATCATCAGTGACTTTTTTAATACTATAATAAAGAAAAAAGAAAGAGAAGAAAAGAAATGTAAAAAAATGTTAAGAGATAAACTGATAGAAATTCGAAAACATATGAAATGTTCATCAATACAAGACACACAAGACAACACACCCGACAACTGGCCATCAGAAAGTGAAGAAAACAAACACCCAGCAACCAAACACAAACATATGCAGGTATATAAGCCCATACATACACATACTGTATGTACATATACGCACCCACACATGCACATATACACATCCACCCATACACACACACATACACATCCACACATAGAT